TGAAAGGTTATAATTCCTTGTTCATTATGACGTCCTTTTTACTTTGATGTCTCAGCAGCGTGACGGAGATCGCGTGACGTGAGGGTTCTGCCTTTGTAGTGAGGGTTGTGAGTTGACGCCGAGGAGGGGGGAGGAGGCGCCTCGCCCCCCCCCCATGTGGAGTGACGTCAGCCGCTAATGATTATTAAGGGAGGGGGGGGGGGTCCATTTGGAGGACGTCACCTGTTCATGAGTATTAATGAGGGTCGCTGTTCGATGTGCAGTGACGTCACCTGCTCATGATTATTAATGAGGGGGGGGGGGGTTCTACATGCGGAGTGACATCACCCGCTCATGATTATTAATGAGGGGCCTGTCCATGATGTGGAGGACGTCACCTGTTCATGATTATTAATGAGGGGGGCTGGTCGACGTGGAGTGACGTCACGCGCGTTACACACTGACATTCTTGGGTAAACATAGTATAGTTTAAGCATAGTTTTTCTCTAAACAGTCACCCCTCCGCTCTCTGTCAATCCGCTCATGCACGACCATACTTCACCACGCCGGTCAATGCGGGTTGATGGCTGGCGTCACCTTAGGCTTTGTATGGATAGCCTCGAGCACACGCACACAAACCGCTGCAAACGAGACTTCCTCGCGCTGGTCTTCCACTTTCACTGTGCGTTGTTTCCCATTCACCAGTGCCACTCACTTGCGTAAAGTAGCCCCATACCCTGACGCCATGGGCAGAAGCGACTTGCAGAGCACAACGCTGCATCGTGTCACTCCACTGCTGGATGAGCGGGTCTCCTCCACCGCGTGTAGGACAAGGGCGTTTTGGGTGTGACCGCGTTGGTGCAGTGTGAGTTGACGAGACGGTATGGTCAGGTGCGGACATCATTTGCCACTGATGTTAGCCGTGGTCTGGAATCGAGCTCAGGCCAGCGGGTTCGTAGAGAAATCTACGAACTCAACTCAACTATTTTTTTTTACACAATAGAGGTTTTTGGGTGAGATAATATTCAGGGCCTATCTTGGCTCCTCCCACTCTCAACCAGTATATATACAAATACTGTGTTCTTGGAATTTCTCTCACTTGATACAGCTATCGTGCTGTGACGGTTCCACCTGAAGACGGAAGCTTGTGTTGCCTCCGAAACGTCGTGATTTTTATTTTATTTTTATTTTACTTTTATTAATAAAAAAAAAAATTACCTACGTGACTTTACCGAAAAAACCTAAGAATATGATTCCTTGCAGTCACGAAAGCTTCAAATCTAGAACAAACGAAAGCCCAACGAAGCTTCGGCTTGCCTCGTAGACGTTCGTAGCAGTGAGCCAAATACTCCAGGCGCGTGATATTGTTTGTAAATGCGGAGGGGGGGGGGGACCCGGATACAAATCCACGCCGGTGTTACCACCCCTGGTACGAACCAAGTGGCATCGTGCAAAGGCCACGAGACTTCGAATGCAGGAATCGAGATTCAGGAAATGAGTTGCGCGTTGGATTGTTTTCAAATGCAGTAAATACCTAGATATGCATATTATCGATGAACGAACTTTGGATGTATAACCGTTACATTAAAGAGCAAAAAAAAGTATGAACATGAATAAATAAAAAATAATGCTGGTTGTCGTCTAAGGTGATATATCACTGAACATTTAATTATATTAAGATATGGATTCGTGAGTGTTGCGCATCATGATGTTTATTCTATTTATGTCAGTTTGTATTTGGTATTATATTTTTACTCTGAACAGTATTAAAAAACAATGTCGTTTTCAATATAAATGGTAAGTCACGAAGTAGTTATAGAATGAAATGGTAAGTTACAAAGGCTAGGGAAACATACTCATATTTTACTAATGTTATAAGTTATTTAATATACGAAGTTTCAACGTACGAACGAAGCTCAAGGAACGCATGCACTTGGTATATCGAGGTATTACTGGATATTTTGATATTAGAGCAAGAATACACGAAACTAAGCTATTTTTATTCTACCAGGTAAGGCCCACTGAGCTAAACTATAGCTCTGTTTCAGAAGCGACCTGGCCACAAATGACAACTCAACGAAGTGGCTCATCATGCGGAAAAATATCGCAGCTAAATACTCTAAACGCGTAATGTCGATTCTAAATGTGGAGGGGAAAAACCGGAGCACCCGGAGAAAAATCAACGCGACCATTGGGAGAGACACACGCAAACTCCAAATATACAGCAGCAGGCGTCGAGATCGGCGTCGAACCCACGACCTCCGGTATACCGGGCGAGGTGGTCAACATCTCCTAGCCACCGAAAACCCTGCGTCACAGGATCCCAATCCTGTGCAGTCGTGGGTGCTGACGTCACTCGTGACGTCACTCGTCAGCACCCCCGTGTGCACGGACAGCGCGCGCCACCGAATTTCCCGTGGAAGTGGCGCCGCGGGGCCTGAAACGGGAACCAAACCCGCGTGGCCACGTGGGTCGACTCACGGAGGAATATGTCCCCGTGTGAGCGCGAGCGTGTGTGTGTGTGTGTGGCAGTGGTCTCAACGTGCACATAGCCTGGCACAAGCGCCGTGGTGACGTCACCGCCACTTGGTGGCGAATGGCGGTTGTTGTTGTTGTGACAGTGAAGGTCGGCACAGCCTCAGATGAGTACCTGGTGGCGGTGTGTAAGCATCGCTACAGAGGAGACAAAGGCGGTCGGGCGTGGTGCTGGCCGCCCACCCCCTCGTGTACCATGCCGGCTTTCATAGGTGCTCACTAACAGCACTTGCCCCAACAGTCAGTTAAAGGCTACACGGAGGATCTTTGTCTTTGTCCTTTAAGTGAAACATACGTGCAGTCATTATTATGATGTTGATGTTCATAATGTACTCACCCAAGACAGAATCAGATGGTTGCGAATCCAGTGAGCTTCCCTTACGGATTCCTCCACGCACGTCGAGGATTCGGTCCATCAAAATGTTTCGTCTCATCAACCACCACGCTGCATGTCACAACAACACGCTCACTCGCTCACGCACTCACCCACCCACTCACCCAGTCACTCACTCACTCAACCACGCACTCACCCACCACACTGCGGGTCACACCACTGCTCTTTCCGCTTCTACCCTCGCATGGCTCCACTCCGTAATCCCCTCATCACCATCGCCGTCTCTCTCCCTCTCCCCATAACTCCCGTGACAATAACGTCGCTCGCATCGAGAAACGCGTTGGCTCCCGTCGACGACAACTCTGACAGTGCTGTTTGTTGCCGACCGCTTGGCGTTTTGCCCCTCGGATCTGTGTTCAGCCACCGCGATGACGAGAAAAGCAGGGAGGGGGATTAACGCTCAGTGATTATTGTTATTTGATTCTCAACGTCCGCGCTCTCTGCCCTGCGCTGTTTGCATTTTTTTTAGTGATTTTAGTAACGGAGGGGATACGCTGAGACAGTACGGCTGCCTTCCAACTTGCGCACGATGTCTAATGGCTGCACTTGGGCTAGTGGTGGAAATTACACATTCGCATACCGAGGACTTGTATATTCCGTTAGAAGCACACCCGCTGTTGAAATCAGCGAACGGCAACCTAGGAATGAAGCTCGGTTAGCTCGACCCTACTTGCTGTGCTCCTGCACCTCCGAATAGCACACACACACACATACACACACACATACACACACACATACACACACATACATGCACACATACACCAACACACATACACACACACATACACACACACATACACACACATACACACATACACACATACACACATACATACACACACATACATACACACATACACACACATACACACACACATACACACACATACACACATACACACATACATACACACACATACACACACACATACACACATACATACACACACATACACACACACATACACACACATACACACACATACATACACACACATACACACATACACATACACACATACACACACATACACACACATACACACAACACACATACACACCCGCCTATCTGCGCGTTGTGTTCGGGGTCACGGCTTACAACCACGGGGCGCGCTCGGCTCGTCGAACGACCACCTTGGTTATCGCAGAGTAACGCCGCGGGTATCTCTCTCTGTCTCTCTGTCTCTCTGTCTTTCTCTCTGTCTCTCTCTGTCTCTCTGTCTACCCCGAAGCCGTAACCCCAGCGCGCGCAGCGATTTAACCAACCCGCGCTGTGCAGTCTTAATAATAACTGTTATTAACGAGTCGTTCCTCGCCTTGATTGCCGCTTCTAATTGACTGTTACCAGCGCCGCGCGGGATCTTTTTTTTTGTTTTGTTGGCGTGGAGGAGAGAGGGGGTAGCGGTGGTGGCGATTGCAATTCATTGCGGACGGGGGAGCGGGGTAGATTGTGAGATCGGAGGAGGAGGGGGGGGGTAAGATATGAGGGTTGGTCCTCTGTTCATCCTCCGCGGGTGTCTCTGCGAGTCTGTGTCTCTGTCCTCTCTCTCTCTCTCTCTCGCTGCTCGATTGGTGCCGCACAAGAGCAGGCGATTAACTGGAGGACTTTGCCAAAAGCGGCCGCGACAAACGGGCAGAATGAGCAGTGACTGACAAATTACGCCTCAATTTTCTGTCAAGTGCCCGGTGCACCCACGATCGCTCGCTCTGCTCGTGTATATATATAAATACAAATTGCTCACATTCTCTGCACAAGCTGCCTGGCCCTGCGAGCGGCAAATCTCGAGTGCGGGCAGGTGTATGCGCCTGTCACACAGACACGCACGCACACACACACACGTATACTGTATATATAGATACGTGCCCGCCACCGACACGTACTATCGCGGAGCGCAGACCTCATCACCGACAGTGCTGTGAACAGGGACCGTTGCCCGAAACGTCGCCTATATATTTCACGTTCAGGCCAACGTTGAGAGTGGGGGGTTTTATTTTACGTAGTTAAGTTTGGCTCGTGAACTCGCGACGCGCACATTATCTGAACGTGCCCAGTCGTGCCAGCCAGCCAGCCAGCCAGTCAAACTTTATTTTTTTCTCGTCGAGTTGTAAGACCGCCGTAGACAGCGGCTGTGCGATCCATTGGCGGTGGAGGCGCGCGCGAGAGTTGAATGCGAGTCGTGGGCGTCCTCCGCTCGTCGTCGCCGTCGTCTTCGGCGTCGTCGTCGACGTCGTCTTCATCGCCCGCGTCTCCGCGTGGCGAGGAGGCGCGTCATCCTCGCGGGGACTTCTCGGCACCCGGTGTCATGAGCCACGGCTCCGCGCACGACCCCCGAGACTCAATGACGCTGAGGAAGCTGAGGGTGAGGTCCGCGCGGAGCCACAGGGGCGTCATGGTGAGTTGAGTTCGACTCGCGGTCAACGTCGGTGACGATTGTCCGAACCGGTTCTGAGCCTCTCCCACCTAGGTCGACTCAGCCTCGAATGAGCACCCGGTGCGGTGTGCAGATTACATCGGCACTGCGGAGACAAAGGCGGTCGGGTGTGGTGTTGGTCACGCACACGCTGGCTTGTCACAGGTGCACGCTAGCAGCACCTGCCCCAACAGTCTGTGTAGGCTACACGGGGGATCTTTGTCATGTTGTATTCGTGTGTCTGTTAGTGTCTGCGTGTATCGTGTTTTGTTTGCATGTGCGTATTTATTTACGTACGCGTACGCATGTCCTATATACGATCGAATACATGATCCAGTGGCGAATATATAATCCAGTCGTCGGGTCTCCCCCTAGGTCGACTTAGCCTTTAACGAGTACTTGGTGCGGTGTGTGAATATCAGCAGTGGGGAGACAAAGGCGGCCGCGCGTAGAGTTAGCTACCAAACCCGCCCGCGCCGCGCTCGTATGCCATGTTCGGCCAGATCAACTTTCTGCAACAGTTTGTTAGAGGCTATGTAGGGGGGGGAGCGTTTGTCTTTGTGTTTTGAGTCATACGCTCGTTCGCTCAGCATCGCCTCGCTGAGTCTCACGACTCACTGAGTCTCAGGAGGCTCCGCTTATGTCTGTGCTGCAATACCCATGGTCTTCTTGGTTCTTTCGGTAAAGTCACGTAGAAGAGAAATAATAAAATAATAAAAATAAAACATAATACAATAATTCTCACGACGTTTCGACGCTGTATCCCCGACAGACCTGTTCTTCACCTGAGGACGGCTGCTTGCGTTGTGGCCGAAACGTCGTGAAAATTATTTTATTATGTTTTATTTTTATTATTTTATTATTTCCATTTTACGTGACTTTACCGAAAGAACCAAGAAGATGAATCCCTGCAGTCACGAAAGCTTTAAATCGCAATACCCATGGTGTTCACGTCGGAGGATGCGACGCTGTCTGACGGAATATCGAAACGTCGTCAAATCAAAGCTTGCGGCAGCCTGCACGCCACGAGATCGTAATCCTAGACGTACCCACAACGTTACATGAACTTATTAAAATAAACTATACTGTACTGATCACTAGCGTACAGCAGTAAACATTAACAGAAATTATACAGGGTATTAAAAAAACATTAAAACCCTGCACGTGAATGAAAAACAGAACGTGGCCAATTTGTTACTAGTCACACATCTGGCTGTCGCCTGATGAAGCTGGTTGTAATTACTGGCGAAACGTCGTACTCAGATTGTAAATGTTGTGGCTTTGCTCTCCAACACACCGGTGTGTTGCTGTACGAGTGACGAATTGTCCACGTTCTGTTTACGTGACAAACCTTACTAGTTGGCTGTGTCGGGTGGTGGCGGGTTTAACGACCCACACATATATTTACACGCTCTAACCACCCCATTAAAAAACCCGTATCATAAATATATTGTGAACTCTACAGACCGGCACATTTCTTTACGCGCGACGCAAAGCGGTTCGTGTTACAGGGCAGTGGGTAGGGGAGGCGAAGGCTGAGTGGCGACGGATAACGAGGAACGGGCAGACGGTGCTGCCAGCGACGTGAGCAACGCAAATCAGCCAGCGGTGTGAATAATGAAGAGACGACTTAGTTGTGAAACGACGTGAAGAGGAGATGCAAGTCGGCGTATGGTTAATGGAGTGCGCTATGAATCTGGCGAAGGAGGTTCGATTCCCCAACACGCCGAACATGTGTGCACGTTGGACTTCTTTCGCACCGTACGTAGCCAACGGCGCTAATCGAAGGTGCAACATCAGTGGCTCGTGATACCGAAACCAATGCTGGTCGATTCGCCCTGAAATCTAAAGGCATACCTGTGGCGGTGTGTAAACGTTGGGGAGACAAAGGCGGACGTGATGGGACATGCTTTTACCACTTACCCCACAAGATATGTGAAGGCTATGCGGATGAGCTTTGTCTTTGTGTTGTTGTATTTGCGTATGTGAATGTGTTCACGTGACTGTGTGATGTACATGCACGGTATGCATGAAAGCGGTGTCTAAATCTGCCACGCGCTGTCCCTAGATCGACTCAGCCTTAAATGAGTAAACTTAATTTGGAGCTTTCGTGACTGCAGGAATTACTCTTTGGTTCTTTCGGTAAAGTCACGTATAAAGATAAAATAATAAATTAAATAATAGCATACGACGTTTCGATTGCAACACAAGCAATCATCATCAGGTATAAATGAAATAGAAACACAAATCTAGTATACTTAGCAATGTAATGTAATACAACAGAGAGTCGGATAACATAACAGTCAACACCCTACCTGGTTGATTACGTTCTTCCTGAGAATGCTAAATTTGAGAGAGAGATAAAACACAGAACCAGAGACAAATTTAGCATTCTCAGGAAGAACGTAATCAACCAGGTAGGGCGTTGACTGTTATGTTATCCGACTCTCTGTTGTATTACATTACATTTCTAAGTATACTAGATTTGTGTTTCTATTTCATTTATACCTGATGATGATTGCTTGTGTTGTAATCGAAACGTCGTATGCTAGTATTTAATTTATTATTTTATCTTTATACGTGACTTTACTTAAATGAGTACTTGGTGAAGACAGATTCGGGGGATGCGCGCAGACTCGTGGCGACATGGCTTGCCTTAATAGGTGCTCGCGAATTGTATTCACGCATGCGTGTGTGTGTCTACACGTGTCATTAAGTGTGTTGCTATTCGTGTTTGTTTGACGTTATCCCCGAATACTCCTTGCTAACGAGATGTCCACAAATCAGTTTGGGGGTTATCCGTGAGAAATTATACTCATTAAAAAGATAAATACGCGTTTATATATACAGATACAATTATATTATCACAGCACTGACGCCTAACTCTCTAACCGCTGGTGTTCGCGTTGGTCGCGAATGGTTGCGTAACTCTAGGGTGTGTCGCGCCCATGTAAACAGCAGTAACCCTGGTGTCGCGAACACGTTGGGTCGGCTGCCGCTACGACTGGCGCGGCTCTTCTGGACGCGACCGCCGCTGTAGATTTCGCATTCACACAGTATGTGCGTATGTGTGTGTGTTCTGTAGGTTGAACTTCTTTCGCACCGTACGTAGCCAACTGTGCTAATCGGAGGCGCGGGGAGGCGTGGTTTGCATGGACCCTGGTGCAAGGGACTACATGGGGGGGGGGGGCTGTCCAACCCCCACCGCAATCGTGCGGCTGCCCCCCCCACATCCCATAGCTCCCTGCGCAGTTGCACCGCCTGTGCACTGGGACAGCTACGCCGCTGGGCACGCAGTGCGTTTCTCTTTGTTGTTTCGGGACATCGCAACCTGGACAGGCGCCCCTTGCGATGGGGGGACATCGCGTTAGCGACGGCGTCGATCGAGGGTGTCCAGTGCCACGTGACGTGAGCGCGACGCGGACACGTGACACGCGTACACGAAGGGATTTAAAACAACAACAACAAACTATAACTTGAGCTGCAAACGTGCACAGATGTCCTATTTCACAGATGTCCACTCGATCAGGGGGGCCAGGCAGAGCCGAGGCAGTCACACGCAATTTATGAGTACGCACACCTCACTATTCGTTAACAACAATGTAGCATTAAAAGGGGAAAACAATGATAGGCGACGTTTCGGGCAATGAACATGTTTCAGAACACGTACGTGGAGAGACCAGAGGGAGCGTATAATGAACGTTTAAGACTACACTTGTTACGAATTTAATAAGCAATTAATAATAAATTGATTACTTAATTACATGCACAGTGCTGTAGAATGATCAATGTTGTGTAAGTGTGTCATAATCACAGGAGATGCCTTCACGCATCTGTGCCGAGGTTTCCGGAGGAGTTGGAAATTGTTAGAATGTGCGCAGACACACGACTGACTCCCAATCAATGCGTACCATCGCATCTCTCTGAATTCAGCTTAATCAAATAAAATAAATGAAAACAACTCAATTAAATCACGACGCTGTCCCCACCTGAAGAAGGACGCTTGTGTTGCGCCCGAAACGTCGTGATTTTATTTAGTTGAATTTCGATGTAAAGCTTTCGTGACTGCAGGGATTCATCTTCTTGGTTCTTTCGGTAAAGTCACGTAGAATGGAAATAATAAAATAATGAAAATAAAACATAATAAAATAATTCTCACGACGTTTCGGCCACAACGCAAGTAGCCGTCCTCAGGTGGAGAACAGGTCTGTCGAGGAGACAGAGTCATTCAGAATTATTTTATTATGTTTTCTATTTATTATTTTATTATTTCCATTCTACGTGACTTTACCGAAAAAACCAAGAAGATTAATTGAGTTGTTTTCATTTATTGTATTTTTCACCTACGTGACTTTACCGAAAAAACCTTGCAGTCACGAAAGCTTAAAATCTAGAATTCAGCTCAATCCTCCAGGAAACCGCGTCACTTACATTCCCCCCCCCCCCCCCCCACTGTGAGCTCCTCCCCTTTCCCCCAACCCCGCCCCCTGTGAAAACAGACGCCGCTCTGTGCAGCACAGTCGATGCACCTGCGTAGCCACTGCCTCTCATCTCTCCTGACCCTTGTCTCCAGTTTCTCCGTTACTTTCCAATCCTTTCCCCCTCAAATTCCCCACGTGTTCTCTTCTCTCTTCACTTTGCCATTCGTTCATCTTCTCCCCCATTTATTGCATCATTGACTGGACATCTGTGAAATAGAGCTCCATAGATCATCGGATTTTTCCAGTCTTAATAAATATTTTTTATTGTGACTCTTCTTACTCCCCTTTCCGTGGTGCGCCTTGCATCACGCTGGGATTTTTGCACGCAGCGGTTTTTTTGGTTTGGAAGATTTGCTGGTTTATCCAGGATGTTTCTGTTGCGCGTCGTCGCTTTAAGATGTTCTCCGTTCATATTTTGTTTGTTGCGGTTGCACCGGACTTAAGAGCCGCATAGCTCACAGGGCTATACCATATAAATGAAACTTGAAACTCGCTACGTGT